CTCCCTCCCTCCCTCCCTATGGGGGCCTCAACCCCACCCTCCCACAAGCCATACCTGCAGGAGCTGCTCTCCAGGCTGCCTGGCAGTCATGTGCATATACATGCATGTGATGACCCCTACCTCACCACTCTTCTCCTGCTCCCCCCAGCCCCTTGCAGGCTGGAACTCTGCCGTGCCTGCAGAGAAGTCTTTGCAAAACTGCAAAACCTGCATGTTTCTCCATTAAAATGGAAAATCCATGCTTTCCTTAGGTAAAGGGGGAAATTCACATTTTTCTCAATTTTCCATGGGAAACAAAAACCCTGGATCCCTGATGATTAAAAATGGAGTGGAGTGAATGAGAGCCCCTGAATGCACACCAAGATAAACAATGCTCAATCCTTACAGTCTGGACACGCATGGAGTCTAATTTTCAAAGACTTACACTTTTATACTTTCCACAGTAGAACACTGATTTAATCAGCCATTTGACCCCTGCTCTCACATCACTGACAAAAGCTGCTGGAGAATGACACAAAAGGAGAGACTTTTTCCTTTCTGCTATGCACAACTAATTCTTAAAAAGTATTGCTTCCTGAATTTTTCTCCTTCTCCTGTAAGTGCCTGGACAGGTACTAGTTTTTTAAAAAAAAAAAAAGTAAGGCTTCTGAAACACATACTTAGAAACCAGTCACCTACAGAGATTTTCTAATATTTCTAGGTGTGTGAAAAAACAAAAACTGTACGACTCAAAACTACTTTTCTTTTCTTTAAAGGCAGCAATTTAGCAATATGCAACATTTTAAAAAGAAACTGAGGAAGGCCAACTTTAACAACAGGGTTTATTTTTCATTCAATATTGTGGGAATCATACAAAGTAAGCAGCTAGGGCTGCCATCTTGTCCTTGGGTTTCTTTGGATTGGGTCTCCCTCCAAGCTTTCTGCCCTTCCCTCTTCCTCGACCCTGCCTTTTCCCCTGGCCTCCACGGTGCATAGGGTGCCTCATGGCTGCATGCTTCAGCTCCACCAGATCTTGAAACACAGGGTCACAGAATACACAGCCTGAATGCTGTGTCTCATCCCCAGGAAGAGGAGACTTGGCTTTATTAAAATCCACATCCACAAGAGCTGCATCGCACACCTCACAGGTCTCTGGTGATACTCGGACTTTGTGGGCATTCTCAAAGAAATGCACAACCACATTGCATTTATTGCAGGCCATCTTCCACTTGGGACCTGAAGTTGGGTCCAGCACCAGAACCCCATTCTCACACTCCACACACTGCCCAATTCCTAGCATGCTCAGCGAGTGCTGGCATGTGGGGTGAGTGCATTCGTTACAGCCCATTCCTAAAGAAACAAAAATAAAATCAGGTAATCAGAAACTTCTTGCATCATGATCTGACCCATGTATGAGAAGATACGATATAGGGTTTAAACAGTGCTAAAACATAGCCCCTGTTCTTAGCATCAGTGTGCAAGAGAACTTCACCACGTAAGACAACACCAGAGCTTGTTATCATGCATCAGATGTCCCATCTGGATGTGCAGTGCTCTTTGTACTACAATGTCTCTCAGATTTCTCCATCCATGTCACTGAACAGTTCAAATATTATGCAGCAGTTTATAAGCAAATACACATTAAAAACATGTTTATTATAAACCAGTGTTGGTTTATCTTATACTAAGTGACCTGGAGACAGGAACCACCTTTCATCACAAGTATGCTGTAATACAGGAGCACAAAAGAACTACTGAAACCCAGTTGAGACTCCTTAGTGTTACCTAATATGATCATGAAATACTAGTGTTTTAGCCTCAAGTCAGTGTCAGTTATCAGGCTCACTGCACTGTGACCCTTCCCAAGTGCCAGTCCCCACCCCTCTCAGGTCCTGAGACACCACCCTTGTTAGGGTGCTCTAATAAAATTTTCCCACTCTGTGCCAACTGTGATCACTTCAGCAGGCCTGACTCAGGTTCAGTACCTGCAGTTCTCTTCCCTCTGGAAACTCTCCCTTCCCAAAAAGCCTCTAATCAATTAGGATCCTTTTGATTTCTAGATGCCAATTCAATCTGAACAGCTGTTTAACTTCCAGCTATAGCTTTCTAAGACCAGTGTCCTGTAATTGCCCGTGTGTGTTTATTGGAGAGCCCTTTATCTAGTCATTGTGTAGCCTTTATCCTTTTATTTCCAGGAGTGTACTATTAAGCCAAATCACGCATAAAAGCCCAATAAACCAATACTGCTATACTGGGACACTTCCATTCTTTATGTGACCTGAAGTGCATTACACAGAACCTCCATAGGTGTCAGGCAGATTTCAGGAATTTCTCATATTATCCTGCAAGTTATCTTCATAATGCTCACAAATGCATTACACATCACTGAGTGTTATGAAAAGTATCTAGCATTTGTGCACAGATGGTTACTAATTTAGTCTGAATTAGAAACGTCTTTATAGTAGCCTATCCAATATTCTGAATGTCCATTTTATAAGTGAGTGAGGTGAGTTACAGTAAACTGCTTTTCTTATTTAAGAGAAGGCTGATAGGGGGCCATTTCACAGCTGTCCCTCCTTACACTGCAGATTTTCATATAAAGGCTTGATTTTTTTAATACAACTGGTCAAATATTAGACTGATTCATTTTTCAAATGCATTTTTTAAACTTTGAAAAATATTTTGCCAATATAAACAAGCTTTGTGAAGTTTTATTCTAATAAAATAATAAAACATATTTTCATTAGTAGCTCTGCACTAAATTTTAAACATACTCCAAAAGTTAGTGAAATAATAAAATACCTTTAAATTAAATCCACTCTTTTTTCCCTGCTTTTATCTCACTGCTTCTCCAGCTGTCGCAAGCTTCAGAAAAAATTACCTCCCTTCAGGAACAAATGGAAATTTCACAGAAGTCATCTGAAAGTTTTAGTATCTTAAATTTAATCGGTAAAGCAGGACTTATTATAGAAACTGTTTGATCCTTAAGAATAATAATGGTCAGAAATGTGACCAAGCTGAATTAATACCTTCTTATTCAGATGAATTTCCATATGTATCAGGTCATGCCAATTATTTCTAAAGCATTTTATTTAGCCCTTACGAACTCATAAATCTTGGAATAACTAGTCTAAGGTGGAGGTGGGGGGCAGCAGCAGCCCTGGATGCCACCTTTGTAGGGAGAGGGGATGCAAAAATAGCTGCTGCTGCAGTCATAGCTATATCATGCCACTGCCATCAGCACCACAGCAGCTGGAGCTGCCGCTGCCTGGCTACCTCTCTGGGAATAACAGGCGGGACTGTATTATTCCTCATACACACCACCACTCGAACTGTCAGCTAGAATCCAACTACAGAATCTTTATTATGTTGTCCCTGCCCCTTTGTTAGAAGTCAGTTGTTTTTAAGCACTTTGGCAGCAAAATATTTTTTATTACAAATTCTGGTAATTTGATGTGGGGCCTGTAGGAGACATCTGTGGGCACCTACAAATTTTGTTTTAAAGTTATTTTTCTGACTAAAAACTGGTGCAATGTAGTTATTCCCCTACGTGTCAATCAAAAATTCTACCTTTTTTCATGTCCCTGAAGGGGGGATGGTTGTAACAGTATGGACAGAGTGGGTAACTTTTTCCTCTGGATCCAGAAGACCACAGCACCAGCTCAAAGTCATCTAGGGGACAACGTAACTCTTTGTAGAGCTTGATAGTACCATTCTGCGGAAGGCTGTATGTTTCATCACAGTGAGAACAGTGCAAACGACTTGGCTTGGCCTAGAAACAGGATAAAAAACTATAAACAAGCTGCACTTCAAAATTCACTATTTGTGACAGTCAAAACCTCTAGTCAGTTGGCAATCAAATAGTGATTACTCCCTGACCTCCTCCATGTAAAAAGGGGACGTATTCTTTTATAGAAATGTGTTTGCAAGAAGTCACATTGGAAACCCAAACATAACAAAGGATATTTTAATATGCTAACCTTCAACAAGTTACTTTTGAAGGACATGTAAAAGCTCTAGGTGACTTACTTGGATGTACTTCATAAAACGATGGCATTTGCCACAACGGGAGAGAGGTTTGCCTGTGTCGGCTAATGGCGAGAAAGACACTTCCATCAATTCATCCATACCTGCAGAAAAGAAGTCAGTGTTGGAAGAAATTACCTCTTTCAGAGAAATGACCCTTTTCTTTACACACAGCCTGGGAAAAATCTCTGGGCTGGTGAAAGAAAAGTTATCAATGACTAAGCAGCGTAACTCCCACACAATGTGTGCACAGTAAGTAGATGCATTACAAAGGCTTCTAAAAGAGCAGCAACAAGCATGTAAGACATGCTACCAAAATATTTCAGCTTGTTTTATAATTTTAGTTTTGAATACACAACACTACATGTCCAGAAGGTGGCTCCAAAGTGGGACTTTGTACAAACTACAAATTCATATGACAAGAGCCTCACTTCTGTGTATCTTTCCAAATAAGAAGCCTGGCCCCTTGAAAACTGACTGAAGGGTCATAGGCTAGTTCTTATTTCAGTTACACAGGGTAGATTATTTCAGGTGCAAGGGAAGGCTTACCTGCAATAGAATCAACAAAATAGTGAAACTTCCTTTTGAAGATATCAAGGGTATGCTCCAGGACCTGGTGGTAATTGGCTTTGCCCAAAGATATCAAATTGAGCTGCTTCTCAACTGCACTGCGGATCGTAGGAAGCACCAGTTCTGCATCTAACCAGAAATGAGAGGGACATAAGAGAAACCACAATGAAATGAGGAGAGACTGATTGACAGCATGGGGAAAACTGATCAAGTGCTGTCAGATACAGGAACTAAAAAACAGACCATTCTATCACTCATTGTGGTTTTAAGAATTACAAGTATCCCATTAGGTACATGTCTTTCAGCCAGAAATGTCATTTGTAAAAGGCCAACTTCAGAGCTACTACCTCACACTCTCAGAGTGGGAAGTGGCTCTTTCCAAAAAGGAGATTAATTACTGATGCTCCGAAGATGGAGGAAATACAAACCACCACTGTAACTCAGTTTAAATCTGTCCTCCTGCCTTAGGACTGAGCACCACAGACCTGGGTAGAGAGTTACCCTTAATGTATTACTGTATCTATAGCTAGCCAGGAATAGAATTAAGTGCTAAGCAAAGGAGAAAAGAAAAAAGCAACAACTGACCTATTTTGTAGTACCCGTGAACCAGAACGATGCCGAGGTTTGTAGGTTTTAGTCTGCGGCCACTCTCCACTGTGACATAGTTTCGCTGGCAAATGTTGTTAATGTGGACTGGAATACTTGCATCAGTTCCTATCACATAGACAAAATACTTTTCTTATTCTTACTTACTCTTAGGTTAAATTATTCTAGTTTCTTTTCCCTCTCAGGTTGCCAGAATCGGAACAAATTGCTTTTCTCCAAGGGCATGGGGTACTACTCAGTTTTTCCCATGCCCTCCTCCACTGCCCAGCTGTTTGATTCCTTCTTGCTCAAAAATTCATACAGTCGTTTATAAATTGGTGAAGGCACAAAGCACCTTTCCAGTTCTGATATTTCTGCAATATATGCTTTGATGTTAAATGCTTCAACTGCTGCCAGCAAGGCAACTGGCAGGAAATTCAGAAGGTGGGAACATACTCTCTTTTTTTCAAAGTGCATTCTCTGGCTAACTGAGGACTGATGAAAATGGCTTACAGAAGACACTGTGTTTGGCCAGAAAAGCGGTAGCCATGAAAGAAACAAGCATGCAGATGAAAGCCCATGCATGAATGCGAGCGTGTGCAGGAAACCATTACTGCACATATTTACAGAAACAGCTCAAGTTTATACCAGGCCATAAGAGAGTTCAGAAGAGGTGGCCCTCCTATCCCTTTTAAGGGGTACTATATCAGCCTGTGAGAGAATCAAGCTCCTACCAATGCCATGTTTTTCCATCAGCGTGATGAGTTCTGCTTCAGTCAGGTAATCAGGTGGATTAGTCTGTTTCTCCAGCAGTTTTATCTCACTGATTGGGAAAATATCTCCTCTCTCACAGCTGGGTAGGCTCTCCTCCAAGGGGATGCTGTGCCATGGCATAATCTCTGTGAACCCTAGAGGTAAATAAGCACAACAGAAACTAAACCCTTTGGCAGTTTTCCCTAGACATAGATACACATTTTAATTTTAACCAGGGCTTCATTTTACAAGTCAGGTTGACAAACTTTTGCCCGTCACAAAGGAAAACAGATGCAAGACTCCTGTGCCCTAGGATGGCACCGGAGACACTGAGGAAATGCCCTATTTTTCTCTTTTCCATATGCCTTTGGAGTTCCTTTCAATACCCAGCATCAATCCCTTTTTGTGGAATCCTGAATGGTACTGGCAGGCCTCAAAAGTCAGCCTTTCTTGGCTGGATCTAGGATAGCACAAGATTGAATCTCAAAGAGGTATGAGGAGATTTTAAAAATACTAGGTGTCATTAAGCAAGATTACAACAAAGCCTCAGTGCAGCTTCTGAATTATTTCCCTTGAGCACTAAGTGTGCCTTTGCGTGGGTGGTGTTCAGCGTAGAACAAATCTCTATTTTTGTGTAGCAGACAGTCTAAAATAGGGGTGTCAAAATTCAACTGGCTTTGCAAGCCAGACGAGTGATGCGGGACCAGTCCACGGGCTGGATCCAGCCCAGGAACCTCCTCTCCCACTTCCTCTCCCTCAGCATACCTGGCTGGAGCAGCTGCCAGACCAGGCTGCTGCCTGCACTGTATGAGGTGCAGATTCTGGAGCAGCTAGCATGGGAGTTACATGCAGCAAAGTCTGGCCAATGCGACATCCCAGTGGCACACAGTGGCCATCCTGGCCAGACTGCGCCACACAACACCTGCCCTGACAGCACCAGGACTGCACTACACAGGGTCTACCCCAGCCAGTTTAAGATCCACACTACACAGGACCTCCAAGCACTGTATGCCGGCAGCTACCGTTCCCACTGGACCATGCCACATGTGATGCTCATTCCAGCTGCTCTGGAATCTGCACCACAGGTAACACAGGTCCCATACCAGCTATAGCAGCCACCAGATCAAGCAGGCTGGGGGAGGAGAGCCTGGGGAAGATGGGAGGTCCTTGGGCTTGATCCAGCCTGTGGTCTGGCCCTGCACCATGGTCATGCGAGTCTGACCAGACTGTGGGGCAGCACCAGGGGCCAGATGGTGGGGCTCTGCAGGCCTTATGTTTGACACACTGATCCAAAGCCACCTTGTACGTATGAGCAGCATTTAACCTGTTTTGGGTCCTACCACAAGGGAAATCATATGCTGGGTCAAACTGGGAAATAAGTGTGGAGATGAAGGAAGCAGTCAACAGCAACAACAAACAACAAAATAGCCTTCAAAATTTTCTCTTGCCTCTAATACTTTATCTTTTAATTCAGCTCCTCAACACCATTTTGCCAAAGGGAAGAAGAGACAGAGGACACGGAGTTACTAACTAAAAACTTTCCTTACCAGGTGAAGTAACCATTTTTCCTATACATGTAAAATGTTCAGGACCAATACTAAAAGATATGGTGGTCTGGAGGTATTTGCAGTCAGTGCTGACAGTAGCAATGAAATGCCTAGCAATATATTCATATAATCGCCATCCATCTCCACCTGAAGACAGACAACACCTTGTTAATTCACATAATCCAATTCACGTTGCTCCATAAAATATTGCTGTTAAAAAAGAAAACAAAAGAAAGCACCAATTTTCATAAACTGAGCAGAAAAAAATTGGTCCCTGAACTTTCAAATTGCCTTCTTTCATTTTTTCCCCCCTTTTAAAGATTGTTCCTTGAAGACCCTGTAGATGAAGAACACATCACTCCAGGAACATTACAGCAACTTGCTAGTTATAAGAATTTAATTCTTGTGAAAATGAGTGACAGGCATAACACAGGCAAGCTGCATGTCTGCCAAAAAATTCCCACTCATAACACAAAAGGCAGTCTTCATTCAAGAATGGCTAGCTTGTGAAATACTGTTACTTGTGTGAATCAGAGCAGAGATCCGCATTCTCTTTTCCCTTATAAGTTCAAATCCTGATTTGATTTTAAGTGAGAGGTCAATACTCTGTTCCACAAGACTTAACCCATTTTTAATCCATTCATTAAATGCTTGTGGTTTAAGGCAATCTGTACTGAAGTCTTGCACAAGATAACTCCCTGTCCATTTTCAGTTTATCACAGTCATGTTACATTTAATTGAATACTCCATGCTTCTATAATGGAATTAATTAGCACAAAGTTTCCACACCTAGACTTCACACACTTCAAAAGAAATGGGTAAGTATAGTTCATCCCCAATTTGCTGTTGGAAAATCTAGTGGCAAAGGGGCCAAACCTAACAAACTGTTCTATTGTCAGGGATTTGTCTGTACCTAACTCTGCTTCTGATGCAGCTCTCATTGGAGTTATTGGAGGATGGTCCCCTGCATCATGACCTTTCCTTGGACGATTAATACCTTCCGATAGCAATGCTTTTACCTACAGAAAATGAAGGGGGAAAAACAGAGAGAGGCTGGTAATGCAGTCCCTCTCTATTGGCTCGCTTGCTTTTCAGGTGTAATCTATTAGAATAGAAACCCCATGAAGTAAATGCCATTAGCATGCAATACTTGCATTTTGTTTACACAATGACTACAGACCACCATGAGATACAAGTGGCATTTGAGGGCATTGACTTGATGCAATTTTTCCTAACACATTGACCAAGAAAGAATTTAACAACTCATCTTGTATTTCATATACTTACTGTTTCTGCCCAGTACGGATTATTGGCTTGTTGTCTCAAAGCTCCTTTCAAGTCAAAGTTCTCCGGATAGTGAGTAGTTTCTGTTCGAGGGTAGCTAATATACCCTTGGGTATAAAGTCGTTCTGCTATTTGCATGGCATGCTGTGGACCCATTCCTGCAAGAGATCACAGCAATATGGCTTAATCTTTGATTTACTGACACAGCAAATATTTCTTTATGACAGGCGTTAAGTTATTCCAGGGTGCCCATTCCACAGAAGATCATGACCATGACTTGCTACATACATGATACCTTCACTTCTGAAATTCTCTCAAACTTCTTAGCAAATGAGAAAAATGATGAAATAATCTTATAGCACAAGTAGTTATCATGTGTATGCAGCGGTAGCACCACCTATTCTGAATATCCCTCATTTTTTTTAATCAGTTTCAAAACAAGAACACTTTTACTTTCATACTATCTACATACCCAAAGCAGAACTGGCAACTCGCAGCATTTCTACTGTGTTCAGTGCCAGAGGTCTCTGCTTCACTTTCTCCTTCTTACTCACAGATTCTACCTAGGACACAGAACAGCATTTTCACAGTAAATTCTGATGTTCAGTGCAGGATGACTGCATGCATTTCATAACCCTCTAAAGATGATATAATATAAGGACATCATAGGTAACATAGGGTCCGCTATGCCTTCTGGTGATGCCTATTATGTTTTATGTTTTACTCAAAGAATAGAAATCTTTATCTCAAGGAAAAGAAGTTCAATGGAGAGGATGTAATACTAGGCACATCAACACAACAGGAACTACCATTAGAAATCTCTATCTTTTATTCTGCATTTTTAGTAAATGGAACTAAAACAAAAAAACCCTAGATTTTCTTGTATTTTTCTAAGCTTAAATATACATACACATGCTAGAGGTGCACCAAATACATTGAGCTGATATTGGCACAGATATAAAGAAAATTGACTGCATCAGAAATGGGCCTGATGTGGCTAAATGCTGTGTGCATGTGCGCAGCTGCAGCACAGCATGTAGGCAACAAGCAGCACAGCCCAGCAACTTGGACAGCTGCATCCAGCTGGTAAGTCTGTTTTGATAGACAGGGAGGAGGGAGGGAAGGTGCATGGGCGGGGGGGGGGGGGGGCGGCGAAACCAAAAAAAAAAACCCCCCCACGGGGGGAGGGGGGGTG